TCTCCTCCCCGAGACCCCTCTGCAAGGGGAGAGAAAATGTATTCTTACATCAACTTCTAAAATAGTCTCGGGGCATCCAAGTACCCTTAATTACAAGTAAGTACCTATGGAAGAGAGTGGGCTGTACCTTACCCCTAAGGCCCCGAGCTCATTGGAGGAGTAATGTAACACCAGTGCTGGGGGCAGGTGAGGGGGAGTGACTGTCCCCTGAACAGCGAGAACAATTGCAGCATACCTGTTCCTAGAGATAAAACTGCCAGCCAGATAGCAATCAGCCATGTGCTCCTAAGAGGCAATTCTAAGGCAGCACTATGATGGGAAGATAGTGTGGGATTCATCTTAATTATGAAATGTGATTGCAGCTCATTTCTACCTCACAAGAAATGAAGGCCTCCCTCCACCCAGAACCCTGGCCTTCCCATGTTGAATATACCAGCCTTTAACATCCGTGGGGGTCCATAGGAGCAATTGTACGGTTTTTAATATATAAAGATCATAGTAAAGTCATGGAAGATAGGAGAGTGAAACCAAGAAGCCGTCTTATGGTAGCACGCTCACCTCCGCTCACCTCTGGGACAGCCATGAGCTCAGCAGCCAGGTCCATGCAGAGAATGCGAGGATGGGGAGGGAGGAGAGAGATCTCTCCTTCTGACCAAGGCCTATATATACTTAGGGGCGTGATTACAGGTAACCACACATGTCACAGGAAGGGGCTGTACAATAGGTATATGCATCACAGGAAGGGGATGAGCTAGGGGTGTACACGTAATAGGAAGGGGAGGGGCTAGGGGTATACATGTGACAAGATGGGCAGACCCTAGACTCAAGGTGTCAGCCTAACCTTGGTCTTCCTTGAGTGGGCATGACCTTCCTGGGCTCTCCTTCAGGGAAACAATCTACTATCCTTATCAGAAGGCAGTGGGCCCTACTTAAAGTGGGACAGCCTATAGTCTCATTGCTCCAGATGGCTGATAACCCCCAGGGAGAATAACCCCTGCCTGACTTGCGTTGACCTCCAAGTGTACAGTTGTTTACCGTGTGTAGCCAGCAGGTCTTGAGTCTGGCATATATTTGGAGGAGACAACCTGGGGAAGAACCCTGTTGCATCCCACAATTCCCCGTTTTGTTTTATGTATTAAATTCAAAAGAGCCATGGCCAACATGGATGCTTTTTATACATTGAAAGCTGCCAAGGTATAATTAATGACAAAATCAATGTAGCCAAGCCAGAAACTCAGGCTTAATGCAAGCATTTGAATCCAGGCTTGGGGGATAAAGCCCCCCTATGCCCATCTACTCTGGGGAAAGGTATGAGAGGGGCTGGATGCCACAGCGGGATGAGATAGAGCAAATAGGAATGTCTGCTTCTATAGGGAGACAGAATCAACCATGTGCTCACTTTAAGGCAGCAGAGCTGTTAGGGGAGAATCTGTGGAAATGATATTTAACGCCAGAAAATTTACTTGGACTATAAATCTAACTTACCAAAGTGGTGGCTTTTCTACTGTGGAATACCAGCTTTCCAGATTCCCTCTGTACAGGTCAGGGAATAAGTCCCAGTCCTATTTCCCTCGGTGTTAGTTTCCCACATTACTGGCATCTTAAATATGAGAATAAAGAATTTGTCCATGCGCACTCTTCTCGTTCCTCGTTTCCCATAGATAACCATGAGAGATCGCTTGATGGACTCAAAATGATTGGCATCAAGCATTAATGAAACCTTATGTGACTCTCCACTGGTTAGCTTCCTGGTTTCTGGTTTCTTCTTCTTAATGATTCCCGATTCACCTTTCTTCTCGTGGTCATCCTTGCTAATAGTGTCTCCCCTTGTAGGAGTCGTTGACATTCAAGGACGTGGCTGTGGTCTTCACTGAGGATGAGCTAGAACTGTTGAACTCCGCCCAGAGGAAGCTGTACAGAGACGTGATGCTGGAGAACTTCAGGAACCTGGTCTCCACGGGTGAGGGGAACCTCTCTGTGTCATCGAATGTTAACCTATGGGAGTCCTCTTGTTCCCTGGGGAGGATAGTTTGGCCTCTGGACCCAGGATAAAAACTTGATTTTCAGAACTGTTTGAAAGTTGCATTGTTGAGCTACTCTTGAATCTTTTCCTCATCTGGCCTTCAAAGGCCTGATGTTGAGCTCAAGCCTACATTTTCATATTATTATTATTATTATTGTTGGTATTACTATTGTTTTGTATCTAGAAAAATGAGCCTCCACTTTGCATCTTCCTGCATTTTCAGGGCAACAGCCTTTCAAATCTGACCAGGTATCCCATTTGGAACAAGATGAAGAAACCTGGGTGGTGGAGAGAGAAATTCCACCAGATCCGGATCCAGGTGAGAACCACGGAGAGCAGAGCCAGCCTGGGCTGGGGGTCAGGGAGCGTGCCACTACCATGCCCCAGTGCCCACCCTTGATCTTGCCCATGGGCACTGTCAGTGTCACTGTAAGTGACTGTTCTGCTTGATTCTACCACCCAGTCCCTGCCTTCTCATGGCTCTTTCATGCTTGTCAGAGAATAATGTAATCAGAGGGAGGAGAGTATCCTCGATAGAGACAGCCAGGCTTGTAAGGCCCACCAGGAATGGAGAGACCATTCCCGAACAGGAAGAATCCTCTGCTGAATTTTCCCCTTAATATTAAACCCACATGTCCTAGAAGTCCCTGGTCATGAAGAGATTCCTGTCCACTCAGCCCTTGAATGTAAACATAGCTAACAAAGAATATCAAACAATGTGAACCAATTGTTTCAGTCACCTGGAACTCTATGGCAAATAGGGTCATTATGGCAAATAGGGTCATTCAGTAGCTCCCGACAAGCAACGCGAGGAAGTGGAGTGATTGAAAATCTCTGGGCCTAAACAGTGTCATCCATAATCCTACTGTATCAGCTCACAGACACGGCTTGTGTTCTTAGGAAGATTTGGATTTTTCTTTTCTTTTTTTTAAAAATCATTTTATTGGAGGCTGTTACAGCTCTTAGCACAATCCTTACATACATCATCCATTGTGTCAAGCACATTTGTACATTTGTTGCCATCATCATTCTCAAAACATTTGCTTTCTGCTTGAGTCCTTAATATCAGCTCATTTTCCCCCTCCCTCATGAACCCTCGATAATTTATAAGTCATTATTATCATATCTTACACAGTCCGACATTTCCTTTCACCCACTTTTCTGTTGTCCGTCCCCCAGGGAGGAGGTTATATGTAGATCCTTGTAATCGGTTCCCCCTTTCTACCCCACCCTTCTTCCACCCTCCCAGTTTCGCCACTCACACCACTGGTCTTGAAGGGATCATCCACCCTGGATTCCCTGTGTTTCCAGTTCCTATCTGTACCAGTGTACATCCTCTGGTCTAGCTAGATTTGTAAGGTAGAATTGGGATCATGATAATAGGGGGAAGAAGTAATTAAGAAGTAGAGGAAAGTTGTATGTTTCATCATTGCTACCCTGCACCCTGACTGGCTCGTCTCCTCCCCACGACCCTTCTATAAGGGGGTGTCCAGTTGCCTACAGATGGGCTTTGATTCTCCACTCTGCACTCACCCTCATTTACAATGATATGATTTTTTGTTTTTAGATGCCTGATACCTGACCCCTTCGACACCTCGTGGTCACAGAGGCTGGTGTGCTTCTTCCATGTGGGCCTTGTTGCTTCCGAGCTAGATGGCCACTTGTTTATCTTTGAATTTTTTTTACATACCCCCAAAAGTGCAGCTTCCCCATGTCCTGAAGAAGAGTTATTTTAGGAGACAGTCAGGTTAGAGCACTAAGTGTGGGCTCTCTGACCAGACTTGCTGTGTTCGAATCCCAGCACCCCGCCACCTAAAATTTAGCTAACTTACTTAGCCTCTCAGTTGCCCCAGTCTCTTATCTGGAAAGTGGTTCCCACCACAAGACTATCCTTCAGGATTAAATCAGTTATCATTAGAGGAAGTACGTAATATGTGTACGTAGGAAGTATGACCACAGTGTTCGATATTGTAGCGTTTGACTTGAGAAACAACAACCAAAGGCAAGCATAAATCTGTTGCTGCCCTGTTGATTCTGACTCTCAGTGACCGTTCATTTTATAGAGTAGAATGGCATTCCTTCAGGTTTCTTGTCTACATCTTTACGGAACCAGGTCACCGGGCCTCTCTCCTGTGGCGCCACTGGGTGGGTTGGAAATGTCAGCCTTTGATGAGTAGCCACTTGCAGCCCATTTGAGCCACCCAGGGACATGCATTAGATCTGTTTTGATGCAGGAAAACGAGGTGACTTTAAAACATTGCTGAAAAAAATTCCCTGATCGTATCATCCCATGTGTGCCCGAAAACGTTTTGAAGCTTGCTCGTGTGCTGTACAGCCAAACCTGTGAAAGCCAGAATCTGGCTAAAGTGGAAACCTGTCAGAGAAGGAAAACTCAAATATTTCTATTAAGTGACTGCACCCTGCCCAAGATGGAAAACATCCGAGATAAAAAATTTAAAAAAAAGTTACAATCATGCTCTGCCCTCTCAGGCCTCACAGTATACAAAATATATAACATATCCATATTGTCATATATAAAATAAGATCATAGTTTTACATATTATTAGCAACAGCAGCATGACTAGAAAAATTGATTTCTCTTTGGTAATCTATTCAGAAGTCCTTTTGTTGTGCAAGACAATTTGTTCATATTACCATTGAATTTCAAGGCTGTTTAATAGGAGCCTCTTCCTTTTCTCAGATCTAAATAGAAAGTAAAGTGACCTGAAAGATAGGACACCTGAAGCTGATTCTACCCACCCCACCCACCCCCATTCTAATCTTGAGCAAAACTTGGTCTGAGTCTGAAAGACTAAAATCTCTGAGGCAATGTTTAACTGACTCTCATCCCCCGAACTGTCTTTAACCCTACAGGAGACAAGCATGAAGAAGATGTGGAGTGTCTTCAAGAAAAAGAATTAAAAGTTCTTTTGCGCAAAGAGCTGTCCTACTGGAAAATCTGGGAACAGGTGACTGGTCAATTAACCGGGAGTCTGGACCATGGAGGAAGCCTTCAAGGGAAAGATTTCCAGTTTTGCGAAGGGGCTTCACACTCTCAAGAGTGGGAAGGCCAATCTACTCAGGGTTTTAAGATTGAGAATTTGGTGGACGATCTTCAAGGCACTGGCCCCATTGATGCAAACCATCAAGAGTTTCCATCCTGGAAAGGCGTGAGCCCGCCCGCCACTCAGGAATCTTGGACTTCTGTGAATGAACCTTGGAACTATCAAAAAGTCACCATGGAAGATACACTATCTAAGTGCGATAAGGATGAGTACAGCTTCAGCTGGGTATTGCATCACGATGATCACAGACGACCTGAAGGCCAGAGACCTTGTCGAAGTGATGAGGATAGACATCACAGTGTCAATGAGGCAGTCCTTTATCACCCCAACTCCAATGGCTTCAAAAGGGAGGAAGGTGGAAGTGGCATCTTGGATGATTCAAACCTTCCCACTCACCCACAAGTGCACTTGGAAGAGAACTCCTACAAGTCTCAGCGGGACGCGCTACCACAGAGTGCCTATCTGGGCAGACATCAAAGCATCCCCATCGGAGGGGCCTCATCTACAAGTGGGGAGGGTCGGCAGGGCTCCAGGAAAACTGTTGACCCTCTCAAGGCCCAACCAGGAGAGAAATCCTATACGTGCTTCGAGTGTGGAAAGGGCTTCTGGAGGATTTCAGACCTTCATAGTCACAAGAAAGTCCATACCGGAGAGAGGCCCTACGTATGTGATGTGTGTGGGAAGGGCTTCATCTTCAGCTCCGACCTCCTCATTCACCAGAGAGTCCACACCGGAGAGAAACCGTATAAATGTGCCGAGTGCGGTAAAGGCTTCAGCTACAGTTCAGTACTCCTCATCCACCAGAGAGTCCACACGGGGGAGAAACCTTATAAATGTGAAGAGTGTGGGAAGGGCTTCAGGTGCACCTCGAATCTCTACATCCATCAGCGAGTCCACACGGGAAAGAAACCCTACACATGCGATGAGTGCGGCAAGGGTTTCAGTTATAGCTCAAATCTGCGCACCCACCAGCGACTGCACACGGGAGAGAAACCCTACACGTGTTTTGAGTGTGGAAAGACCTTCCGGTTCGGCTCGGGTCTCTTGAGCCATAAGAGGGTGCACACCAAAGAGAAACCGTATCGATGCGACATCTGTGGGAAGAGCTACAGCCAGAGCTCACATCTTCAAGGCCACCAGAGGGTGCACACGGGGGAGAAACCCTACAGGTGTGAAGCGTGTGGGAAGTGCTTCAGTCAGAGCTCCTCCCTCCAGCTCCATCTGAGAGTCCACACCCGAGAGAGGCCCTATACGTGTGAGAAGTGTGGCAAGAGCTACAGTCGAAGCTCCTGTCTGCGAATTCATCAGCGAGTGCATAGTAAGTGAAGGGACCTTTGAAGTTGAGGACTCTGGTTAGAACTCAGTACTTTATGCTTCTCTGAGAGGCAGCCCAGAAGACGTGGAAGTCATGTGTTGAAGGGCTGCCATAGAGGCAGAAGTTTACATAGTTCTCAGCTAGGCTGCACAGGAAGGGAAGAGCTGAAAGTTTGATCAATAAAGCACTTTGTTCCCAAACTTCAGTCTGGAAGAGTCTGTTACACAGCAGAATAATTCCTACAGGGCATGGCAAAGGGCTATGGTCAAATTGACACTTCCCTCAAAGAGTCTGTCTTGCCGACTGTGTATAAAGAAGTAATGATAATGCATTACGGGTCCAAGACACGGACATGGATTCCCAGTAAAGGAGAAATCACCTTTAAAAAAGGGACAGATTTCGGTGACCTTACTAAGACAGCCTCGTGGATGCCTCTTAAAAAAATAATATTTAAAGTAATAATAATATTTTATTGTGCTTTGGCTGGAAGTCTAGTTTCGCTTCTCACAATCACGACACCAATTGTCCAGGGGCATTGGTTATATTTCAGTTCCCTTCCGAATGTTTTGCTTCCGGTCGATTGAGTTCCCTTGTCCCCTTACCATTTCCATTTTGCTTTAGAAACGTGCTGACCATTTGGTCTCCTAGAGACGGCTTTTGTTTTGTTTCGTGTTTTTTTTAAGGTACACGGTACTCATTGGCAGTCCACTTTTAGGAAAGGTTTTAAAGATGTCATGAGTTGGTTTCAAGGCCTTCAACACAATGAAATACTGCTGAGCGCTGCACCATCCTCACCGTTGTTATGTTGGGCTCCATTGTATCAATCCATCCCCTTCAGGTCTTTCTGTTTTTCATTGAATTACTTTTCTCAGCACTATGCCCTTCTCCAACCACTGGTCCCTTCTGATCTGTCCAAAGGAGGTGAGAGGAAGTCTCACCGTTCTCAGGACTAGAGAGCATTCTGACTACATTTCCCCCAAAATAGATTTGCTTTTCTCCTGTCTACTCAATATTCTTTGGCAACAGCGTCATTCAAATGAATCCGTTCTTCTGTGGTTATTCTTATTCACGATCCATTTATAGGTAGCAATAGAAAATGCCATGGCTTGGGTCAGGCACACCTTCATCCTCAAAAGTGGCATGTTCATTTTTTTAACCTTTCAAAGAGCTCTTTGGTGGCAGATGTTCCTAGTGCGGTGCCTCATGTTGATTTCATGACTGCTCTGTCCATGGGTGTGGATTGTGGTTCCAAGTAAAGTGAAATCCTTGATAGCTTCAATCTTTTCGCCACTTATGACGTCCCCTGTAAGGATTTTTGCCGTTTGTCTTGAGGTGGAATCTACACGAAACACTGCAGTCTTTGAGCTGCATCAACAAGGGCTGCAGGTCCTCGAGGTTCAGCAAACAAGGTTGTGTCACCTGCGTATCACAGGCCTGGCAATGGGCCTTCTTTCCGTCTGGATGCCATGTTATTCCTCTTGTGTCTAGTTTCCATGAAACAAAAGCTGGCAATCACTTGAGTGGCCTGGAAGGCTAGGAGCCGGTGTTGAGAAATGTATCGCATCACATTTCCTTATGTTCTGTGAGGATGTTTAATCAGATGCAGATTATGTTGCATTCTCTCACAGAGCAGTTGTAATAATAATCTTTTTAAAGTTTAATATTTTACTGAGTCAAGCTGAACGACTAAAGTCCTTTGGTTGTACTTTGGGCTGTGATTACATCATAGGTTACCTAATATTCTAGAAAGAATTGGTGGGAGGAGACGCCAAATTCAACCATATCTTACAAGAAGACAAATATGAGTCATTGGATGAGGGGAGCCATCACCAGGGGACCATAATGGTCTCCAAAGGAGTGGTCCGGGGGAGCTTCAACCACCTGGCTACTTGATGACTGGGCGGGGACTCAGGACAGTGGGAGCCCTGGTACCTAACTTCCAGGTGATACCCATCCGTCAGTCATTTAGGAGACGCCTTCCATGAGGACATCACTGCCTTTCACAGGGCTGACCCAGGAGTAATAAAGTACATCCAAACACACTTTACCTAAGGGCAAAGCCGCTGCTACCTTGTTGGGGAATGTTCAGAGAGGACAATGGCAACTGGATATACGTCAAGATGGCAGTGGCGCTAGGGCTCCCGAGGTGAACCACAGCCTTCCAGGAACCAGGCGCTTTAGAAGTTAATCCACGTGGGAGAGCTTGTTTATTTTTGAAATGATTTTTTTTTCCCTTTTGAAATAGACTGTTCCCACAAAGGGTAGAATCATATTTTTTATGATCAGGAATCGTTTTTTTAAGAGAGATTTTCTAAAGCAAATTCTGAATATTCTTAGGTGTATTCCCAGGAATTATATTGCTATCATGAAGTTCCTAGTTTTTATCCCATTTCATTCAATCTTAACATTAAAATGACTAGAAGAAGATAGGTCTATCTATAATATATATGCTATAGAAATGCCATGGTTAACTTGTCAGATTACCAGGGGTAAAACACATTCACCAAATCTGCCATCAGTGGGGATGGATGGAGACATGCACTCTTAGGCATCATTAATTGGCATGAAAATAGGTAAAGTGGTTTTGGAAATAATTGGTCAGTATCAAATTCAACTTGCATAACCTTTGAAGTGGCAATAAATTGTGTGTGTGTGTGTGTGTGTGTGTTGGGTTCTGTTAAGTCCGTTGAAACTCACAGACACCCCCTGTATAACAAAAGGAAACACTGCCTGGTCTGATGCCCTCTTCACAATTTCTGAGAATTTCAGAGAGACTAATCCCTCTGAAAGGGCCAGCCTATACCTTCTACGCTTGTTCTCTGTCTGGAAGCTCCCCTGAAGCCTGATCACCATGGGTGACTCTGCCTGTGTTTGAAACACCAGTGGCGTAGCTTCCAGCATCACAGCAACACACAAGCCATCACAGCACGGCAAACAAACGGGAGCACCAGCAATCAATAGATAGGAATTTATACCTGAGAGATAGTTGCACATACAGCTAAAGATGAATACTCAGGGCCCAGTCATGTGACTTTTGATTTTTTAAACCATAGCAAAAGGTCACAAGGTAAGACTCCCAAGTGTCCATTGGACACTTCATAAGTTCATAACTTTAAAAATGCATAAAATCTTGAGAGACAAGTATAATAATATTGAGGATTGCCCAAAGCTAGTGGACCAAGAAAATTAATAGGATGGCTTCCTCCTGTTTTAATCTGTGTGTGGACGAGTGTGTGCACCTGTGCCCACACATTTACATGCCAAACGATCTATGAAAAATATGTTGTCAAGGGTCATTGTTATAACTGCTGCTCTGGGAGGTGGGATTTGAGGAATATATGCACTGTACTTTTAGTTAAACAGTTTATCTCGATCTTGCAATAAAGCTACTGCCAAAAAACTAGGCTGGTAGAATAATGTCTGATGGCCAATGGTCTTATAACCTCTATGGCCTACCCCCCACTGTTGTTATGGGCTGTTGGGTCAGTGTCTACTCATAGCAACCCACGTGAGAGAGTAGAACAGCCACCACCGCCCCACCCACCCCAAGGGTTCCTTTGGTTGGTTTATCAATCAAGGTTCAAGGACCAGAGAAGCAGAAGTAGGAGACAATAAATATTGAGAGATCTATTAGAGTGAATTGGCTTATAAGATTGTGGGAACTGGCTAAGAAGATCTGAGATCCAAAGGACAGGCCATCAGGAAGAGCAGGTTGGAGATACTGGACTTGGATGAAAGCATCTGTCCTGGGAAGCCCGAGTCCTGCCTTATTTAAAAAGACCTTGCAATGGATTTGAATCAGACCATCTAGGCTATTGCCCATGTTACTCATCAAGTTGTTCTAACTCATAGGGACCTGTTGAACAACAGAATGGCATGTCCGCTGGTGTTGCGCCACCCTCACCATGGTGCTGATTGATGTCGTGAGCTTATCCTTCAAGTCACTGTCTCAATCTCAAGTCACTGTCTCATTGAGAGTCTTTCTCGCTGACCTCTATTTGACGAAGCATGATGTCATTTTCAGGGGACTGGTCCCTCCTGATTACATGTCCAAAGCATGTGAGACTGTCTCGCCATCTTTGCTATACTTCTTCCACGGTTTATGTGTTTATTCTTCCTGTAGTCCACGGTTTATTTCATTTACATTTTTCTCCAGCACCAACACTGAACCCACAGTGCCATCGAACAGGCGTTTCTTGTACAGCACTGCCATCTGGTGGTCATATATATATTTCCTTGCTGGACCCAACCCCCCTGGAACTCAGCATATCCACTACCATTGAGTCATTGAATCATAGAGACCCTATAGGACAGAGTAGAATTCCTCACTATGGTTTCCTAGGCCGTACACTTCAAATGAAGAATATGGTCTCATTTTTATTTTGAGGAGCAGCAGTTAGGTTCAAACTGCCGACCTTTCAGGTAGCAGTTAAGCAGCTACCAGGCTCCCTATCCTAAAAACAACAGTGAGTCTGGTTTCTGCAACAGTCAATAACATTCTTCTTGTTTAAGGTGCATAATAACCCTCTACGATAGAAGGAAACACTGCCTGTATTAGAGAGAGTTTTATATAAAGAGTAATTGTACATTAAGAAAACATCCCAACCCAGTCCAGATCAAGTCCACAAGTCTGATATTAGCCCATATGTCCAATACCGACCTATAAAGTCCTCTTCTGACTCACAAAACACATGCAATGACGTCAAATGCAGGGTGATCACAGGCCAATGGGTAGAAAGTCTTTGGATCCAGTGGCGTTGTCAGCATCTCAGCGCTGGCAGGGGTCTCCACATGGCTTCTCCAGCACCCAGGGCTACAGTGGGGTAGGTCCATGCATCAAGGTAGGTCCATGTAGCTTCTCAGGGATGTCTCACAGGGAGTCATCCTTGTCAGTAAAGTGTCTCGCAGGAAGTGGGCCCAGAGAGAAGTGTCTCCCACCTCCAAAGAAGAAATACATGATTTCCCAGAATCCTCAGGAGAAGACCAGGCCCACACAGAGGCCTTATTGGCTATGATCTGATTGACAGGTGAGACTCCACCCCTACACTCGGAATCCTCAAACTGGCAAACGATTCGATAACTACCACCCGGCCCTGTCCCGCACGAGCCTCACAATGTTTCAGCCATTGTTGCAGTCACGGTGTCAGGCCACCTCGTTGAGGGTTTTCTTTTCCTTTTATTATTATTATTATTATATTGC